AGATTTTCATTTAATTTATTATTTAATTTTTTTGCAAATCTGCGCAGAATAGCACTAAAAAAATTTCTCCTGATGAATAAATATATATTTAAGTTATTGAACTTGAGCATGTTTATAAACTTTTAAACTAAACCCATACTGAATATAAACTTGTTTTAAAGGTTTAATATTAAATTAAATATAAACTTGACCAAAGTTTAGTTTAGTTTATATTTATAAAAACACTATATAATGTAAATAATAAATTAAAATCGAGTTTCAGACAAATAATGCTATGTGTTTACCTAGTAATAGATCAAAAACATAACTTTGAAGGATATCTGTCTATATACATAACATATGATGATCATATGGATTGTCTCGTATTAAAGGCCCATTTTGGCATATACCTCAATTGAGTTTAATTTTCAGACTGATCACGATTTTGATTGGTTAAAGACAACAGGCAACTATTAGGTAATCTTGTGATGTGCCTGGCTCATGTAATTTTTATTTTACTTGATCTCCATTTTTCATTATGCAAATTGACTTTCATTTATAATTGAAAAATGTCAATCGTCAAAATTTACATGAATCCAATAAAAACTCATTTTTCGAAAAATTTCAAAATAAGCCCTTTTAATACGGCCACTCCAGGGGTCTAGACACTTTTGCAGTGATGTGACCATCACGTGGTGTGGCGTATTTTTTGCTTTAATTTAGGGTTTGGGTTCGGGTTCATGTTAGGGTTCATGTTAGGGTTTTTAGCTTTATATATTATATGTAAAATTGTATTTCTGACACTTTTTGTTAGTGTTTAAAGGCCGATTTAAACACCAGTTTTCGAGTATTTTCACTTTTTTCATTTTTTTTCTTCTTGCACACGTGTTTTGTTTTGACGTCGGACTGATCCGAGATGATCGAAATTTACGAATTCCGATTGGTTATTTTCTGCCACATCACGTTACTGCAAAAGTGTCTAGACCCCTGGCGGGGCTTTTTAATACAGGACGTAGCTCCGGGCCAATAATGCTACGCATAACCTGGTTACTTGATTGGCTCGATATCACTAAATTCTGCTCTAATTCAGATGCCCCTAAAAAAAGAAAGAAACTAATAACTATAATAAGGGAACTGACATTCATTACGTAATATCCATTTAATATAAGGCTACCCCTCCCCCACATAAGATCTATATGATTGGCCAATTTAGAAATCATATAATTACTTTGTGTAACGTAAGACATTGATATAATACATACTCAACCCCACCCTAAAATATTACGTAATAAATGTCACAGCCCTAAGATAGAACAAGAAACAACAACACCGAGCCCTACAGAATGTAATAATCACCAAACACTGTACGAATTCTTGTAAGATGGATGTTTAGGACTTGATTTTCTTACTCGTTCTGGACCAATTCGAGGACGAATTCGACACAAAGTAGTTAATCATTTGAGGTACATCAATTATAATCGTTTCATTTATTACCTAAAAAGTTTTTATTGAGCCTTAATATCGGGATTTAATTTATAACTTTTCCTTAAACTAATAAAATCGATAATCTACTTATTTTTATTCATAAAATTTATTTAATCTTTATTTATTTTTAACATTACTTGACAAATTTATATATTTATTTAATGTTATAAAATTTTAATTCTATTTAATAATTTATTAAATTAACTCTTTTATATACAGTCGATTCTATATAATGAACCTCTCTACAACGAACTCAGTATATAAAGAGTCTAATTATTTTTAAATTATATAATAGTTTTTTATAAAAACTCTATGAGCTTTTGATAAAACATAGTAATTTTATATAACCCCAACTTTACTTTTCATCCTTTCGAATTGTCAGTTCGAGTTCGTTATAGAAAGGTTGACTATAAAACTTTTATGATGATAAAAGTAATGTTAAATATTATAAATAACTAAGAAAATTTTCCTTACCAAAAGATTTTCTTTTTTTTATAAGTGTAAAATACAATATATATTAATATATATATATATATTTGTGAACTGAATTATAATAAAAAATTTACGAAGTTATTCTTCAATCAGTGAAAAATTAAAAAATGTTCTAGGTTAATTAATAAAAAATCCGTGATAGAGAACGAAATATGTTAATAACATTATACTTATACATCAATATTGGCTAAATTCTGCTATTTGTATCATCATTCATTTCAAAAAAAGAGTATAGTTCATTAGTCAGTATAATTTTATTAGCTTCTATTACAGTATTATTATTTCATAATGTTTTAGACATACGGGATATACAAATCTGAACGATAACACAGGGGCAACCGTTACACTGTGCTTACATTTAGTCAGAAATTCCTTATAACATGATATCGTGTGAAACGCTATATAAAATTTACAATTTGAAATTATTTAATTACAACGTAAAATATAGTGCTTGTTTCATCGTATAGAGAAACAGCTTAAAGAGATATATTTACGCATAGCATTTATGGGAAGGAAGATCCTAAAATCAGCGACGTTGAGAGTTGGTCGTCCCGTGGTATGTGATTTTCTGCACCTTGAGTTCTGGGGAATAAAGCTGTGCTTTCAACACCTACAACTAGGTCAATGTATTGTTGAATCTCGTTAAAAGAATTGAGTAGACTAACGAAATTGTGGCGTCTTTGATTATTATTATTATTATTTTGCCGTTGAGCACTAAAAGTATGGGTTGTAGACTGGTTCATATTAACAAATTTTTTTTTATAAAAAAAGCACAGAGGTAAAAAACTATATTTTTATACTGAAATTTAATGCCTGAAATTTTAATTCATTGCTCATTTGAGAAACACTATATTTAATATTATAAGTACTCTATAACTTGATGTACCGTATCAAAGCAACAGGTATGACGAAGATAATATAATAGGACTAATTCTGTTAGTTTAAAACTTTAAGTGGAGCAGTATCTTTTTTTGAATATCCTTGTATCAAGAAAATCCCGGGTTGTAGATCATTTCTGGTTTTTCTCTCTGTTGTTTATTAGGCATTTGCTTTCCTTATTTAGTGCGTTAACTTTAGGTTGATGTAAATTCTGACTTCTAGATTGAAGTGAACGTTGACCTCAAGATTGAAGTGAACGTTGACTTCAAGGTTGAAGTGAACGTACACTTCAAGGTTGGGTAAACGTTAACTTCATGGTCGAGTAAATATTGGCTTAACGTTGGTTTTAATATTGTTTTTAATCAATTAAATTTGTAAAACTGGTATAAAAAAATTTTTTTTTAAAAAAAGATTAAAATTTTGAAGTTAAAAGGCTCTTTGTAAAATTTATAATTTTTATTCTCTATATTATAATAAATTTTGCACTTTAAAACGAAGATATCTCGGCAATTAGCTATTATAGTCAATGGATTTTTTATTTTAGTTCTACATGTAAAAAAAAAAATTTTATTAGGTAGTTGCCGAGATATCTTCGCCAAAGCTTAATTTGTTACCATTGCGCAAGAAGTCAGATCGAGAATGATCTACATCCCGGGATTTTCTTGACATAGCACATATGATCAAAAAGAATTTAAGCATTGATTGGTGTTTACTTTTGAATCCAAACCGGGTTCAAAAATAATTATCCATTTGTAAATGAAAATCACGTGACAAATATAAATTACTACGCAGCTTAGACATATCTATATTTAGATAGCATGACGTACGAAATTCTGTTTGAATATTTGTTTTTTGTTTAATTAATAATATGCTGTACGAAATCCTGTTTGAATATTTGTTTTTTTGTTTAATAGCATGACGTACGAATCCTGTTTGAATATTTTTTTTTTGTTTAATAACATGACGTACGTACATACGAGAATCCGTGATTTAAAAAGCAGTGTTCCCGGTTTTTACATGGCTATACAGTTACATTACAAACTTCGAAGGTCCATATATTTACGAAATCTCACATATATGACAATAATATTATGCAATGTTTGTTTATATTTTTGAACCCGGATCAATATATATGTATCTTGTTTTGAATCTTAAATAAAATTATTTATACGGCATTTTCTATTTATCGAATTTTACATATACCAACTGTTATCCGGCATTTGAATTTTATCATTTTT